TTTTTAAGACAGGGTTTCACCATATTGGTCAGGCTGGTCTCGAACTTCTGATTTCAGGTGATCCGCCTGCCTCAACCTCCCAAAGTGCTAGGATTACAGGCGTGAGCCATCGTGCCTGGGCCCTGCACACACTCTTAAGTCACCCCACCTCCCTCCCCTGACTTCCCTGATCTGCTCTCCATAAAACTTCAGCTCAGCTCCCATTGCTCCCCACAACATATCCCTCAGTTTCCAACCCACGCTCCCAGAGTTTCTCACGCCATCAGCCTCAAAACTTCCAAGAATCTTTATTGAATTTGCTCAGCATCAAGCACGGGTCTGAAGAAGCCAGGGAGGGGCCCTGTACCCACTGCCGACAGGGAAGGCCCCAGCTGGCAGACCCCCCAACCCCATGGGAGGAGCTTTCATTTCTTCCTGGGCTGCTTATCTGGGAAGCCTTCAAAGAATTCGTTACACATCATGGCGATGCAGGACAGGAAGACACAGTACTCCTGGAAGTCCACCTCGTTGTCCCTGTTGCTGTCCAGGTTGCTCATCAGCTTCTGGAACGCAGCTTCATCTGTCCTTTTCTGGAGGGAGAAGAGGCTACGCATAGAAAACAGAAGCCCAGTGGGTGGCGCCAGGACCAGACCCAGTTTCTACCTCCAGACCAGAGCTCGGAAGCCTCCTTTGGGAGGTCCAGTTTGGAGCTCCCGTCCTCAAGGCTAAGCTAGGGTGGAGAAGGTGCTCCTTGGATGAGGAAGTCTGAGTACCTGGTGCAATGGAAAAATGACAGGACCACAACATTTTCACCCAAGCTTGTTCTAATAATCCCATGAGGTAATAATAGTCATGAAACAATACGTAAACTGTATCATGTTTGCTACAAATGTACATTGTTATTATTTGAGGGGAAAGTCTGCGGGCGTGTGATCATCTCCACATCTGTATCTTCACATCTACAAGCCAAACAGAAACTCAGTGTCCATTGTTGGAGTGACGGCAAGAGTCAGACTGTCCCGGTCTGTATGGCCGTTCTGTACACCGACCACCTTGGGAAGTTACTTAGCACTCTGAGCTTAGTCTTCCCTTCAGTGCAAAGCACCTGGCGGTGTCTGACCGGTTCATTCTCAGCCCTCTTTCAGCAGGGCGCCAGTCCGTGAGTGGTGGTATTCACTGTGTTTCCACCCCAGGCAGCCGCCCCACTGATGGATGCCCTCTGTAGCTAATGCTCTATAGAGCGACTGCTGTCTCCTCTGTGGGAAATGGCCCACTTGGGGACACACTCAGGCACTACCCACTCACCCCCAAGAAGCTGGGCAGCTCCCGGGTCAGCAGCTCCTTTAGCTCTGACTTGTTGAGCTTGAACTTGTCACCCTCTTTGCCCGAGTACTTGTGGAAGGTGGACACCATCACATCCAGGGCCTTCTCCAGGGGGCACGCCATGACAGCCGTCAGGATCTGGGGGCAGGAGGCACAGAGACCCTCTTATTTACCCCACCCCCCAGAGATGTATTCAGAATGCCCAGCTCCACTCACATCCCTTGATGGGAGCACTTGGTGAGACTCTGCTCCCTCCCTGGGGGAGCTCAGAGCAGCGGGCCCAGCACCTGGTGGGAGGGTGTAGGGAACGCATGCTCTGGGCGGTGAACAGTGAACGTTTGCAGGACCCACTGCACAGGCTCTGGAGATTCAGGCAGCAAGCTCCCAGGCCTCTCCTCAACAACAGCATTTTTTCCACCCCTCACTCAGTCGATCCACTCCCACAGCTCAGCCACAAAGGCCCCGCCCTGGCCATTCTTCTCCCTCCCAGCACTGGGCGCGGCTGCTGGAGGTCTGCCCAGGGGACTGCAGCGGAAAAAACCAGCCGCTTAGCGCTCAGCCTAGGGCGGGGCAGAGTGAGGTGGCAGAGTCAAGGGTTGGAGAAGGTGCAGAGGCCATGCTCTCGACCTGGGCTGCGGGGTGCAGGGCAGAGGCTCCTGGGGCACACCACCGACAAACGCCCACGGTTACCTTCTGCCTTTGCTTTGCTTCCTGCACCCGAGCGTGCAACCCAGCAAACGTGAGCCAGTGCACATACCCACGGGCACACACACACCAACACACACTAGAGCAACAGCACGTGCAAGCCGAATTTCAGAAGCGCCCGGAGAGCTCAAATCCAGCCACTTGCTTGCTTTTCTGTTTGTTTTTTCCTCCCTCTAACATGCACGTGTGTGTGTGCACATGCGCACCCGCACACATACATGCACACCCACACACACACTCTATCCAGAGCTTCCACATCAGAATCTCACATCCGGATCTGTTTAGCACATCTGGCCCCCACCCACCTCCCCTTCTGCTGCCCCAGCCCTGGCCTCTGACACCCCTTGCATGCCAGTCAGGCCAACACAACTCACCAGGCCAAGAGAGAAGAAGCGGACGAGAGAGGGTTGTAGAGAGAGGAAGAACAGGGACGGCCCAGCGGTCTGACCTATTTATACCCCCGCCAGGCCCTGCCCATAGCAGGGGATGGGGGAGAGCAGATACTGCCCTCCTACTGTGGGCTGACATGGTAAGTGCCACAGCACCCTCCACCAGCCGAGCCTGGGAACCAAGCTTCCTGTCCCCAGGTGGGCCCCTGTGGGCAAGGGGTAAGCCCCAATGGTTACCACCAGCAGGGACCTGGATGTAATAGGCACTACCCAGTGCACATAGCCTGAGTTTTAGAGAGGTGGAGGAAGGGGCAGCCTGTGCCTGGAGCGTTGGGGACACGGAGAGAGAAGTCTCCCCTTTCTTTTTGAGATGGAGTTTCACTCTTGTTGCCCAGGCTGGAGTACAATGGCGTGATCTCGGCTCACTGCAACCTCCGCCTCCCAAGTTCAAGTGATTCTCCTGCCTCAGCCTCCCGAGTAGCTGGGATTACAAGCTTGTCCCACCACACCCAGCCAATTTTGTATTTTTAGTAGAGACCGTGTTTCACCATGTTGGCCAGGCTGGTCTTGAACTCCGGACCTCAGGTGATCCACCCACCTCGGCCTCTCAAAGTGCTGGGATTACAGGCTTGAACCATCGCACCCGGCCAAAAAAGTTTTTTTAATTAGCTGGACAGCGTGGCTGGAGCCTATAGTCCCAGCTAGTCAGGAAGCTAAAACAGGAGGATCATTTGAGCCCAGGAATTCGAGACTGCTCAAGCCACTGCTCTCCAGCCTGGGCAACACAGCGGTACCTTATCTCTTAAAAAAATAAAGATTAAGGCCAGGCGCAGCGGCTTAATCTCAGGACTTTGGGAGGCCGAGGCGGGTGGATCACAAGGTCAGGAGTTCAAGACCAGCCTGGCCAAGATGGTGAAATCCCATCTCTAGTAAAAATTACAATAAAATTAGTCGGGCGTGGTGGCACACACCTGTAATCCCAGCTACTCAGGAGGCAGAGGCAGGAGAATTGCTTGAATCCGGGAGGTGGAGGTTGCAGTGAGCCGAGATCATGCTACTGCACTCCAGGCTGGGTGACAGAGGGAGACTCTGTCTCAAAAAAATAAATAAATAAAAATTAAAAAACAAAAATTGGGGAGGGGATCCCCAGGCCCAGTACTATCTGCCGTGCCAAGTAAGGCCCAGGGCCTTACTGGAGGTTCTGGAGGGGAAGAGGTTCATACCCAAAGGAGGCTCTGGGACCACCTCAGAAACGTCGGTGGGAAAGGTCCTGGGTGAGGTAGTGATGGAATGGGTGGCAATCAGGCGTGGGCGCTCATGAACAGACCCCAGGCTCGGAGAAGGTGTCGGGGGTGCCATTTAAAGTTGGGATGAGCGTCAGGAATGAAGAATCCAGGTTGGGGTGGAGAGTGAGAGGTGAAATGGCACAAAATACGGAAGTCAGGATTTGGGTCAACCTCTCAGGGTGGGCTGTAAACTCAGTGAGGGGTAGAAGTAGGGGGTTAAGGCCCTCAGGGGGCTGTGGCTTCAGGGATGGGGACTGCCTCAAGATATCCCCTTCCCCCTCCATACGGGCACCCCGCCCTGGCTGGGAGTAAACACCTCAAACACCCTAATCCCATTAGTGCTGCTCTCTGGGCTCCCACAGCCCGGGGCAGGGAACAAACACCCGCACTGCACCCACAGCCCCTCCCTCCTCAGATCACCTGATCAAGAGCCCTGAGTCCCAGGGGAAACTCAGGCGGCCCTCTCTCAAAGACCCCAGAGAAAGAGAGAGGAAGGGAGGACGGGGGTCCCAGTGTTGGCCCCACGCCCTCCTGCTGGACTCTGGAGGCCACTGCATTACTGCAGGGTCTGAAACGTCCCTGGGGGAGCCTCCTGCGCCTGCCCTCAGCTGCCTTCCTGCAGTGGAAAAGTCCAGAGAGGAGCAAAGAGCTCAGCAGACGCGTGCCCGGAGAAGAACCAAACAAAGCCAAGCTGATGCCAGTCTTTTATTAGGGGTTAAATAGGCCCTTTCCCATCGAGGTCTCACTGGGGCCTCAGAGAAGATTCCACCTCCTCCCAGCCACAAGGGAGGCAGCGGGGGTGCGGCGGGCAGGCTGGGGCCCAGAGTGGCTCTACCCCTCACTCGCTGACATCCTGGGTAAAATGGGTGAACTGATCACGGAAGACCTTGGCAAGTCCAGATTGAAAGGGGCACAGGAGAAAGGGTAGGAGGGCGTATGGGAAAGACAACAGCCCGAGCAACCCCCAGGGCAGAGGCTACTGGGGGCACGGGGGCTCTGGGGCGCAGTCCTTGAAGTACTCGTGGCAGTAGAGACAGAGACAGGCAAGTGAGCGCACATACTCCACAAAGTCCACCTCGCAGTCCTTGTTGGTGTCCAGAACACTCATGAATTTGTTGTAGTCACACTCCCGAAACTCGGTCTGTGCAAAGGAGGGGTGGGGAAGGGTGGGGGAGCAGGATGAGGAGGCGGAACAGCCTCGCAGGCCACTTCCCCCCTCCTCTCCCAAGTGGACCCACCCCACCCCAAACTACACCCTTCCGAGGGCCAACTTCAACCTATCTGTTCCGATAATGCACCCATCATGATCCCCTCCCAAATCCTCCCTCTGAGATTATTAATCGAGCACCTACTATCTGCTACTGAGTGCCTACTATGCATTAGCCATTCTTCATGGTGCTCTCGCTCAGTCCTCTCACAACCCTGCAAGGCAGCATGTGTGATGATTGTCCTCCCATTTTACAGATGAGGAAGCTGAGGCTTCTGCTGTGTCTGTTCTCTTCCTCCCACTCCTTCCTCACAGTCCAGCCTCCTCCCCTTGCTGACCTGTGCTCAGGCTTGTCCCCAAGTCTGTCTTTGCAGAGTCCAGGCCGTGCCTCCCGCCTGGTGAGGAGGGGACGGACACTCTGCATACTCACCGGGGTCCAGGTGGGCAGCTCCTTCTGCAGCAGCTCCTTGAGCTCGGCCTGGCAGAGCTTGTGTTTGTCCCCACAGCGCCCTGCGTATTCCTGGAAGGTGCACACGATGGCAGCTACCGCCTGCTCCAGAGGCCTGGTCATCCTCCCTGTCATAGAGCAAGGGCGTGACTCACAGCAGAGTTCCAGGCCAGCCCCCTGCTCACCCCTGCCTTCCATGTTTCTCAGAGACCGTTCCCAGACCCACCTTAACCTCCACCAGGCTTCAGGCCTCATGGCTCCCCCTCCTCTGAGCAGCCCTCCTGGACCACACCAGCCCCTGTTAATTTATCTCCCTGCTGTCCTTCTGTTATTTTCCCCATGTGGAGGTCTCATTGCCCCAACATCACTGCAAACTCCTTAAAGAGACAGCATCTCACCCCACCACCCACACACCCCACCGTGGGGCTCCTTAAGCATTCTCGGGTTCTCTGCGTATCCCCAACACCCAGGGTGGCTTGGTCCCCGTCTGTCCCAGCCCATGAGATGTCCTAGAAGCCTCCTACCCTGCGGGAACTTGCACAGGGAGAGCCTAGCCCTGTGCTTCTCTGTCCTCAGGCCCGTGGAGATGCTAGGCCTTAGCAGGGAGGGAGGGGCAGGCCTGAGGAGCCCCCACGGCCTCCCCACCACTCCCCTCACCCTGCCTCCTGCCCTGAACTCAGGGAAGCTGCATCCAAAAGAAAAACTCGTGGGCTCTCCTCTGCCTCTCGCCAGCTATGCAGGCCTGGTGAGCCATTTGCCTCTCCGGGTCTCAGGGGCCTGATCTGTGAAGTGGGGTTCATCCCACCTCGCAGGCCCAGTCAGGAACCGGAGGCAGATGGTCTCTTGAGAGTTGACGGGTTCAGGTATTTACCAATCCAAGACTGGCCTCCCCTGAGGTTACCCCCCTGACCCCTAGAGGGAAGGATCTGTACAGGGGTACCCTGTTCTATTGGAGGGGAAGCCCTTCCTGGAATTGCTCAGCTCCCCCCACTTCCACTGTCCCCTTCCACCGCCCTTCTGGGATGATGCCTCCAGCCTGGGAAAACCCGAAGGCGGCCAGGAAGGCAAGAGTTTTTTCCATGCAAGACCAGTGACTCACTCCTGGCTCTCCCACGGGACGGGAGTCCTCAGCACAGGGTGGCCAGGGCCAAGACTCTCCCTGAAGATTCGCCCACTGTTGGGCCTGCTGCTGGGAGCAAATGGCTGGTGTGGTTGTGGCTGGCAGGAAAGTTGGGGAAGGAGAGTGGGGGTGCCAAGCACTGCCAGGGTTTAATTTGGTGTAAACAGCCCAGGATTGGAGCAAGGTGTCCAGGTTCCCAGCAGAGGAAAGGGCCATGATCCCCAGGAACGAGGAGCCGCAGAGGGGCTCAGCACACCTTTCTGGGCTCCTGCCAGC